TGTACATGCCATCTCGGGAGAACGGTGACATATATACAACTAGGCCTAGTTGGTTTGTCCCTGGCTAAGATAGCTAGTTTGTTGTGCAAAGAAAAGATCCTTTGAAGCCACGTTTTAGTTGTTAATTCATAATAATTGTCAAATCAAACATTACGTAGTTGGTGAGTGAGCACTCGGTTTCTGATCCTTTTTTTGAAGATAACCCCGGACTCTGTGTCAGAACGATGCATGTGGTCAATTGTTTTTTTAATTGACTTATTAAAGGATTTCTTTATGTTTTCCTTTCCATCGATGAGAACGACGATGCACACCAGCAGAACAAAACCACCGTCCAGTGGCTGGAAGGAGATAAGCTCTAGCGACCCTGGCAACCTACTCGCGCGCAATCCCCCCTCCCCCCCCCCCTCCCGCCACGCCCATGGGCAGTGCCCAAATCCTACCCGGCAAGGCATGGGTAGATTTTGTGTTCATGGGTATGCCCACCCTACCTCGGTTGTCTTATCGGTGTGTCACATGTGTAATAAATACTAAGCTACCAAGTCTTTGTATGTAATTGGCTCCGTTTCTCATTCCATCCTCCTCCCAACAACCAATTTCTCAACCATAGAAACCTCTCGGTGGTTGGAGTCTCCACCATACAATGGACTAGCAACTACGCCACCACCCATCGACATTGTGTTGAGCAGCCTGATGGGTACCCATTGGTATGGGCATGTGCATGATATTTACCCGATGGGTATGGATGAACAACAAACTTATGTACTTCCCCTGTTTCAAAAAGAGTGAAATGCGTCATTAGTCATACATTAACTTAAACTTAAAGCACGCTTTAGACCAAGAACTCGGGAAGTGAACGAATTTAGTCCATAAACTTACAAATTTTATCTAATAAGGTCAATACCGATCTAGGAGGTATTAACTTAAACTAAAAGCACGTTTTAGACCAAGAACTCGGGAAGTGAACGAATTTAGTCCATAAACTTACAAATTTTATCTAATAAGGCCAATACCAATCTAGGAGGTAAAAAACCGACCACGTGACTGCCACGCCGGTGTACAGGGTAAATTTTTTAACATGAACTCTACGTGATTTGAACCCATGCCCTTGGGTGTAGCAAAGGGCTCGCTAACCAGTAGGACATTAAGACATTTATATAAAATGATGAAGCGGATATTATATATTACAAGATGAAGATTCAGTTCATTAGGGCCTCAAGAAAAGAGATTCAGCTAATTCTTTTAAACATATGTTCAAAAAACATATGGAAAGGGAGCATTGCATGCTGACCATTATCTATATCTATATCTATATCTATATCTATATACCTTATAATAAAAAGGCTATTGCTTCTAGCGGTATGTCATGAAAATTGCCACAAAAATATAAAATATTACCCACCAATGCCATCTATATAAAAAAATGAGTCTAAACACACTTGACTTTATTGATTATAAAAGTTCATAGGAATACAATGTAGATCCGACAGATAAAGGAGCCACACATGACGTCCTAAAGAAAAGCCTAGAGTATGTTTAGCGAGGCTATGTGCCTCAAGATTAGTTTCTCTTCCTTCGAAGATGAAGGAACAACGAGAGAACTGCTGAGATGTAAGATTGATCTCCTTAATAATGCTAGAGTGTAGCCCACCCATATTTCCGTGGATATCTTTGATCACACCTTGACAGTCTGAACCTATCTGTATGTCTTCAAATGATAAGTCAAGAGCAAGTGAGAACACTTCTCAATAAACCAATGCCATCTATAAGTGATAAAAACATGTTTTACACAAGGCAATCCACGCCTGGGCCGGCCCATGCAGTATGTACTTCCTATACCGTGCTCTGGTGCTGGGAGAAGACGCAACGCGCCTGTTTGGGGCAGCCCATGTCTGGACGGTCTTTTAAATTTCTTTTATTATTATTTATTTATTTAAAATAATTTGGGACCTCAAAATTGTTCCGAAAATAAAAAATAATTTTGAAATAAAATGTTTGTCAGTTCCAAAAATGTTTGCGATTTTGTAAAAAATGTTTGCTTATTCAAAAAAGATTGCAATTTCAAAAATAAATGTTCAGGAAATAAAAAAATGTTCATGATTTTTATAAAGTTCGTGTATTAAAAACTGTTAATGAAATTGAACAAAATTTTGTAAATTCAAAAAATATTCATGAGTGGAAAAATATCCTAAAAATTAAAAAACTATTCATGACTTACGAAATAGTTTATTCATTAATAAAATGTTCACTGGTTCAGAAAATGATCTTGCATTTCAAGAAGTGTTCGTTAAATAAGAAAAGTGTTCGTTAAATCAGAAAAATATTTGTGAATTTCAAAAATGATTCTACCTATTTAAAAAAATCATTGATTCTAGAAATGTTCGCTATTCACGGAAATTGTTTTAAAAAATGTCCACAATTTTTGAAAAATGTTTGAAAATAGTATAATTTTTTTATGAATTCAAAATGTGTTCTTGATTTTAGAAATTGTTCAAGAATTTGTAAAAGTGTTCACAAATCTAAAAAATATTCATGATTTCAAATATGTGCACGAGTTTAAAAAGATGTTCCTGATTTCACGGAATTGAGAGTGATAGTGTATCTTGATGATGCATCAAATGTGGGCATGGCCATTGGAAATTGTAAGGCGGATTCTAGAACCCCAAGGATTCAATAGTATATGGATATGAAAAATATAAGATTTCTGATCCTAGCGGGAAAAGGCGGGGAACAAATACCCAATAGGATAGGATCCTTGGTAGGAACTTTCGGTAATAGTTTTCTTTTCTCCCGTTGCAGTGAGCTGCCATTTTGCTATAGAATTCAAAGTATTTTGTGTCTTCAAAGGCTTACATTACTTATGTTGGTAACGTTAAGATCCCAACCATAATATATATACATCTTCAGAACAATATACAAGCTCCCTCGCAAAAAGAAAAAGATAACAATATATAAGGTCACCTTAAGAGAAAATATAACAGTGCAATATATACCCTTGGTATCATCACCTGATCACGTATCTGAGATTGCTTGATGGCACGAAATCATTAAAATATATTAAATCAGCTTCTCTTATACAAAATCAGGTGTCCCCTACCGGTTATCAAGGCCATTATCCTCTCTCACGGCGTGGGTTCAACTCCCATTCATAGCATTTTATTTTATTTTATTTCCTTCATACGCCATTAGCTGGGCTATGAAAAAAAAAGCAGTCACTTTGTAAAAAGGTCCCTGTAAAAAAGTTGGTTTGCGAGCAAGCAAGGGTATGCTGATATGGTAGCCACGTCTTCGGTTTTTTACCTTCCGGATCGGCTTTGGCAAGTCCCATTCATAACATTGCATTTTATTTTATTTTCCTCCATAGAAAACCGGCCACTTTATAAAAAGGTCCCCATAAATAAGTTAGTAAGCCAGCAAGCAAAGGGTACGCTAACATGGCAGCCACGTCATCGGCTTTTTACCTTCCGGATCGATTTTGACCTTATTTGATCAAATTAATGAGTTTCTGAACTAAATTCAATCCCCTTTTTAGTTGTTGGCCTAAAGCGTGCAACCAATTACTCACTCTTTCAAAACAAATCTTATACCTTCTTCTGTTTAGAAATAATTAAAGTTTTAGAATTATCCTAAGTCAAACTTCATTGAATTTGATTAAGTCTTAGAAATAGAAGCTGATAGCTCGCAAAATAGTGGGATCATCAGTGATATAAAACATCTTCTTCAGCTGGATGGAAACTTTACCATCTCGACCATATGTCACTCGTGCAACGGTGTAGCTCATGATCTTCCTTTTTTTTCAAAAATGATCCAATCTATTATTAAAGTTCCTCAGAAGTATAGAGCACCTTAAACATAATAAAACTACATCGAAATTCTAAAAAAAGTGACCACTGCCGTTCTCAGAACAAGCCGTCAATGCCACTTTCTAAAACCACTGAACGACCACTATCATCGCCAGAACGAACCGCCGACGTGCCACTGTCGCTATTATCAGAGCCGGTTTGATTGATGTTGTTGATGACAGCTGAGAGGTCTTCATGTACGGGTCCCCAAGAACCAGTATCCTGAAGCCGCCGTTGTTGCATCAAATCTTGTTACTCTAGGGCTCCGTCAAGAAGACTATCAAAAAGACCAAATCTACTCTGGGGCTCAAGAAGACCAAATCTCATCGCCCCAAAAAGACTACACGAATCTACGAATCTACTCTAGGGCTCCGTCAAGTACGTCCATGAACGAACTCGAGAAAAATCAGAGCTCAAAACACAAACTGGAATAAGAAGCGTCGCCATCCACCTAAGTGCCCCATCTATGAAATTAGAAACAACGAAAAACTCATAACCTAAACCAGGCAACCGGGTTCCTCTCCTCGCTGGAGCAACAGAGGAAAGACGAATTCATGGGTCGCCGACAAAGAGAGGTGGCTCATGGTCTTCCTCAGCTTGGTTATCACAACAATGATGTGGTTTATGGTCTTGTGTGGCTTACGGTCCTGCTCAGTTTGGGTATCACAACAAGCGCACTCCGATGTGGCTTAGATCGGGTCCCTCATTCGCTGTAGTCCAACCACAATGGTTAAGCAATGAAATCTTTTATTCTTGCATTTTCTATTAAGTCTATATAAAAATATAGACATCTATAACCTCAAATTTATTATGAGAATATATTTTCATATTATATATATTTTATATTGTAGATCTCAATAGATTTTTGTTTAGACTTGGTCATTTTTCTTAAGAAAATCGAAGAAGTACAAATATTTTGCAACAAGTAAAACTTGTAACAAGCCAAAAGACTTCAAGTACGTTTAGGAACGAAGAAAATAACTCACAGAAACTATTTATTCGTTCTTACACACTGATGCGAGTGGGTAGGTAATACACACGACGCGCCCACATATGACTCATCACGGCTCAGCGGCACTTATTTATGGCTAACTCAGTAGCTAGCTCTACTACTAGTGCATTAGTTCACGACTAGTGGCGCGTCGACGCGTCGGCCATCGATCAGGCGGTCGTCGAGCCGCACGAAGCGCAGTTGCAGGCCGCGCCGCAGGAGCAGTTGGCCCTCCTGTTCGCCCGCCCGGACGGCGTCCCCTCGCGCCCGCACGCGCACGGGTTGCACCCACAGTGCTCGCCGCACCCGCACGTCGTGTGCTCCCCCGCCGCCGCGTCGCTCCTCGCCGAGGTGCACCTGCAGCCCGTGCCGCCGGGGCACGGCACGGCGCACCCGCACTTGTCGTTGCAGCCCATCTGGATCTCCGGCGTGCCTTGCTCGCAGTAGCTCTTGTCAGTTCACCACTATGGCTACACTGTATGCCAGAGCACGGAGCTGTAGGGGGTGCGCTGCGCGACTATATGAAGAGTGGGCTTAAGCGGTGGCATGTCTTTCGGACGTCGGAGCTGCCGGCGTGTGGCAGTGGACAAGGACACGTGGGGTACACGGCAGGAACTAGGGATGATGTGGTGGCAGTGGCACCTACGTACGTTCGCCACGGCCGGAGACGTGTACAATACCTACGAAAACGGCCAAGCCACGGGCATATATATCCGGTAGATGGATGGAGCAGTGGTTATTGTTGAGATATGTACTCCCTCCGTTCCTAAATATACCAAATACTTATCTTTCTAGGCATTTCAACAAATAACTACATACGGAGCAAAATGAATGAATCTATACTTTAAAATATGTCTACATGCATCCGCATGTAATAGCTATTTGAAATGTCTAGAAAGACAAATTTAGGAACGGAGGGAATATATTGCATGTATATTTTTTTGTACCACAAGCCGTCTTCCTCCTTTATATAATTGAGGACGTGGTTACCCTTATACCTATATATATATATGTGCATATGCACCCGATCAATATATCGTGAGTTGCACCAATTCTCTAATCCTCTACATGATATCAGCCTAACTAGGACCTTCCACGTGTCGCAACCCTAGCTGCTCCCGCGCGATCCCTCCTCCCGCCGCCGCGTCCTGCCTTTGCACGCCTCCACCTAGATCGCCACGCCACCTTGCGATCCTTCCCACCGCTGCCTCGCTCCCACCTCCTAGTTGTGCGTCGCTAGCCTCTCTGCCACGCCTCGCTACCCTCCCCAGCCGCGCGTTGCCTCCATCCCGTCGCACGCCGCCTAACCCTAGCTGCACCGCTACTTCTCCAAAACCCTAACCTCCTGAAGCCCTCCCTCCATCGCCGCCATGTCGCACTCCAGCCGCTCTGACCTTAGCAACCCCTTCGCCTCCTCCTCCGAGGTCGGTTCTCTCCCTGACCCGGCCTACATCCGCGATGTCCCAATCTTCGATCGCGTTTCGATCAAGCTATCCCACACGGAGGCCAACTTCTATGCATGGAAAACCTATTTTAACCTCCTCTTCCGTGAGTACAACCTCAGTGACCACATCGACAGCACCACCGACTTCCTCGCCATGCGTCACGATGAGGATTGGATGGCGGTTGACGCCACCATCATCCGGTGGCTCTTCCTCACCGTGTCCAAGGATATCTTTCAGACCATTGTTCGCGACGGTGATGATGCCTACACGGTGTGGACGAAGATCATCGGCCTCTTCACCGACAACAAGCTCCAACGGATCGTCTTCTTGCAGCAGGAGTTTTTTGGTTGCCACCAAAACGACTCCTCCATCAACGCCTACTGCATGCGCCTCAAGACTCTATCCGACGAGCTCAACGACGTCGGCTTCAAGGTTGGGGACGAGCTCCTCCTCTCCACCCTCACCGCTGGCCTCAAACGAAGATCTCGGTAATGCCGCGTCCAATCTTACCCTTATCGCTAACCCTACTTATGAACGGGCGGTGGCCTATCTACGTCTTGAGGAGCGTCACCTGAAGAACCTGCTGGCTCGTGCGGTTCATACCACCTTCGCCGCCGACTATTCCCACGGCGGGTCTACATCAGCACTTCCCGCCGAGGGCCACGGCGCCCCGCTGCCTCCACAGCCTCGCCCACCGGTGCCTCCAGCAGCCGCTGGTGCGGGTGGCTACGACGCCCTTCCGCCTCGGCCTCCGGCGCCGGTGCCTCCGCCCCAACAGCAGCAGCAGAACCAGGACGACCGGCGCGCCCGTGGTGGTTGCCGTGGCCATGGCAACCGCTCCAAAAACGGCGGTGGACAGCAGCGTGGTGGTGGCCAGCAACATCAACTTCCCTCGCCACCATGGGGCACCGGCCACAATCCCTGGACCGGGGTTGTACACGCCTATACAATGCCGGTTCCCCGCGCTCCACTTCCAGGACTTCTCGGGCCTCGACCAGCGGCACACCAGGCCTTCTACGCGGCCCCCAGCTCGGCGCTCCGACACCACCGCCTCCCCCTACCCTGCACTGTTTGGCTATGGCGCGCCAAAACCCAGTGGGGGGTGGGGGTGATGGGGTTTACCGACTACCCCACGCCGTCGGTCTCCTACGACCCGGCTCTGCTCTCGGCGCTGCAGTACACGCCTCGGCCCAGTTCTTACACCGGTAGTGGCGACCGGTTCATGGACACCGGTGCATCATCTCATATGGCAGCCTACCTGGGTAACCTCTCCTCCGCGTCTCCTGTTCACACATCTTCTCGTATCATCATCGGTAACGGCGCTGGTCTTCCCATTACTCACGTTGGCTCTAATCCTTTTCCTTCTACGTCTAGGCCATTGTCTCTTAATAATATGCTCGTGTCTCCTCAACTTATTCAGAACTTAGTCTCTGTTCGTAATCTTTCCCGTGATAATTTTGTAACTGTCGAATTTGACGAAGTTGGTTTCTCTGTTAAGGACGCCCGCACCCGGATGGTTCTTCACCGATGTGACAGTCCCAGCGACATGTACCCCATCCAGCCTTCATCGTCATCACACACTGGACCTCTCGCTCTTTCCGCCGGCATCGATCTTTGGCACGCCCGTCTCGGTCATCCTAGCTCCACTGCACTTCGTCAAATAGTCAAGGATTTTTCTTTTTCATGCAATAAAGCGGATGCTCATTCTTGTCAAGCATGCCGCATGGGCACACATGTTAGACTCCCGTTTAGTTCTTCTTCGACAGTTGCTTCTTATCCTTTTTGAATTAATTCTGTGTGGACGTCACCTATCTCAAGTAATTCTGGTTTTCTATACTATCTTGTTATTCTCAATGACTACTCTCATTTTGTGTGGACCTTTCCGCTTCGTCGAAAATCTGACGTTCCCGCCACTTTCCTCGCCTTTTACTCCTATGTGTCTACACAGTTTGGCCGTCCCATCCATGCTCTCCAAACTGACAATGGGAAGGAATTTGATAACATCGCCATTCGTACACTTCTCTCCAACCACGGAACCATCTTTCGGTTAACCTGTCCATACATCTCCCAGCAAAACGGTCGGGCAGAACGCGTTCTTCGCACTCTTAATGACTGCATCCGCACCTTCTGTTTCACGCCTACATGCCACCCCGGTTTTGGCCGGATGCCCTTGCCACCGCCACCCTCCTCGTTAACCTTCGTCCGCGTTGTGTCCGTTAGAACTACACCGCGCATCATCTTCTTTTTGGGTCTCCTCCATCCTACGACGGTCTTCACATTTTCGGATGCCTCTGTTATCCTAGTGTCGCAGCCACCGCCCCTCATAAACTTGCCCCTCGTTCCTTGCCTTGTGTCTTTCTCGGTTACCTGGCTAACACTAAAGGATACCGATGTTATGATCCGGTGTCTCACCATGCCATCACCTCTAGGCATGTTTATTTCGATGAGTGCTCTTTTCCTTTTGCACAGGAACAATTGGAGATGTCACCCGCTGGAGAGGATAATGCCTTGTCTGGCTCTACTCGCCGACATGATGCACTGGGACCTTTCCCTTTGGTTCCTGCACCGTTGGCCTCGCCGGCTCCTCTGCTGCTTTCGCCCGAGCCTTCGCCGGCCACGCCGGGTTCTTCGCTGGCTACACCGGCTTCTTCGCCGGCATCACCGGCCATGTCGGGCTCCCTGCCCGCCTCGCCAGGCTCGCCCGCCCGTTCGTCGGACTCGCCGGCCTCTTCACCAGCCTCGTCGGGGCGGTCGCCCCGCCTGCCAGTGCCCGGCGCACCCCCGGCACCTGCTGCTTCTCCGGCTACTGCACCACCACCCGCCGGTCCTACTACTCGTGCACGCATGGGTGTTCATCAGCCGAGTCTCCGCTACTCCGCTGATGAGTATGCTTGTCCGGCCTCTACGGTGCCCCCGCCGCCTCTTCCGACCTCCGCTCGTATGGCTCTTCGTGACCGATACGTCCATTTTGCATCATGCTTTTATATCAATATTTATTGCATTACGGGCTGTTATTACACATTATGTCACAATACTTATGCCTATTCCCTCTTATTTTACAAGGTTTACATAAAGAAGGAGAATGCCGACAGCTGGGATTCTGGGCTGGAAAAGGAGCAAATATTAGAGACCTATTTTGCACAACTCCAAAAGTCCTGAAACTCCATGGATGACGTTTTCCAAATATATAAAAAATACTGAGAGCAAGAACTTCACCAGGTGGTCCACACCCTGCCCACGAGGGTGGGGGGGCGCGCCCTACCCCCTGGGCGCGCCCCCCTACCTCGTGGCCCCCTGGTGGCCCTCCGGTGACCATCTTCTGCTATATGAAGTCTTTTGATGAAAAACAATCATAAGCCATTGTCGGCGTTTTGGGAACGGGGGTCCCCAGACTTGCCTGCCTGCGGCGTGGCTCGAGTGGGGGCCTAGTGCGGCCCAGCTTCATCAACTCAAGCTCAAGATGCTCGCAAGGGGCCAAGCCTTGCAGGGTGGACGACAGGAGGATACCTCAGGAGCAGCCTCATCAGGCAGGCTCGCGAGGAGGCGGAGAGATCAAGGCAGGGGTGCCTCGCGAGGAGCCCGTGACGCAAGCCATGACGATCGAGATTAGGCAGGCGCCAGGCGGGCGCCGGCCTGCGCAGTGTCCTTGTTTCCCCTTAGTGCAAAGGGAGCAAGCACATGCCAAGGCATCGGGCAAAGGTTACCATTCCGGTGCAACGAGACCAAGACCAGCAGAGCGGCAGGACGGAGGTCACCGTGGAGCCCAAGACGGCGTCATCACCAGTGCTTTTGGTAGCCGAAGACCACCTTTGGTTAGGATAACATGTACTAGATGTTCCCCTTCAAAATGGCCAATTGTTAGTGTCCTTCCCGCTCATTTTTTGGGAAGAGGACTAGGGCCTCTATAAATAGGACTAGCCCCCCGAAAGAAAGGGAGGAGAGAGGAAAAAGGAGAAGAGAGAGGTCCAGAG